GGGTATTTCTTAAAATACTCAAGTCAATGCTACTTTATTTCTCAAGGTAAAGGTAAAGGCCCGTGCACATGGAAGTTAAGATTGGACAGTAGTATGCATTGTTTTCATTTAGTAATTTTATAGGTGACTTTTCATTTTCGTACTCAAACATTATTTTTAGGTTTCATTTTGACAAGGTTATTTCTATTCCTTGTTTTAAACTAAACATGTAAATCGATTTAAGCAAAAAAAATAAAAAATAAAAAATAAAAATAATAAAAATAATAAATCCTACATTTTTATTCAATTTTATTCTTAAACTTTAAAATTTGTATAATTTTTTTTTAATCGATCACAATAGATCTTTAAACATTTAATTTTATTTTTAATAGATTTATGAAAATTAAAAATGACTAATGAATTGAGTAGGTCAAGTCAAGGTCGGCCAATAAAACGATGGGATAAGCTTTATCGTCGAGAGGAAAACAGCTTAGATCACCAGCTAAGGCCCCTAAATGACCGCTTAGTGATAAAAGAGCTAGGGGTACAGAGACAGCTACGAGGTTTGCCTAGAAGCAGCCACCCTTGAAAGAGTGCGTAATAGCTCACTAATTGAGCGCTCTTACGCTGAAGATGAACGGGAATAAGCGATCAGCCGTGTATTTGAATAAATTGGATATTTTGACATAATTATTCATAAGTATTAGTGCTCCATAGTGTGAATAGTGTAGCCAACAAAGAGCCCACAAATAGAATTGATTGTTATTTGATCTAATTGTAATTATGCCTAATTACTTTCTTTTAATATATATTCACTAATTAATGATGACTTTATTTTAATATTTTAAAAAATGTTCTTGAGTTCTCCACTCATATTGTAACGAGTTTATTTTTCTATTACAGTAAAGTTGGTACTACATGCATGATATAACTGTTAAGTGCGAAAACATTCATTTAAAATAATTCAAAACGATGTCATTGAGTTAAAGGTTTCGTACTAAAACTTTAAAACCAAAATCAAACTTTGATTAAGGATAAATTTGTGACACCAGCTTAAATTAATAAAGTAAGTGATCTTACTAACGACATGGTTAGAAGTTTATGTTTGTATGATGACACGTGCCCGTGGTTCTACATGTGTCATATGTTTGATATGTGTGAAATGTTTATGAAAAAGATATGATTATGATATGTTTGTAATATGATATGATATGTTAATGTTATAACACTTGTTATGATATGATGTGCTGATGATAAGATATATGTTATAGTGTAACATGTTGTGACATGTTTTATGATATGATACACGCATGATATAATATGATATGTTGAAGGATATGTTATGTGCATGATATGACATAATACGATGTATGATATGAATGATACAGTATTCAACTTGATACATGTCTTACCGGCTATGTTGTAAAATGATATGATATGAAGGAAAAATGGGAGGGGATAGATTTACATGGTTTAATAAATGAAAAATGTTGGGGCCTCATGCATCGGAAATTTTTTTCGTTTACGATAGGTACGAACACGTACGTTAGGAAAAGAAAAATGATTATTATGTTTATCATCATACTACGACGATCATTATTTCTACAGAGTGTTCGACAAGAGCACTAGAGTATGCTAGCCCGATCAGGAAAGGGGCCTAGAAGGTGTGAGAACCAATTGGCGGGTCCATATTCGCACGAATCGACCATGTGTTGTGTTGGATGATGAAAGTCCCACATCGGTTAATTTAGGGAATGGTCATGGGTTTATAATCTAAGAATACACTCTCCATTGGTGTGAGGCCTTTTGGGAAGCCCAAAGTAAAGCCATGAGAGCTTATGCTCAAAGTGGACAATATCATACCATTGTGGAGAGTCATGTTTGTCTAACATGGTATCAGAGCAACGGGCAGAGCCTGCGTCGACCTTTTATCTAATAAATGCATCCCTTCCAGAAGTCGGGGTTTGTTGCACGTGGTATCAGAGCCGCTTTGTTCGAGGGGGAGGTGTTGGATGATGAAAGTCCCACATCGGTTAATTTAGGGAATGATCATGGGTTTATAATCTAAGAATACACTCTCTATTGGTGTGAGGCATTTTGGGAAGCCCAAAGCACCACACTCAAAGTGGACAATATCATACCATTGTGGAGAGTCGTGTTCGTCTAACATGTTGAATACAGATTTAAATGATAGGTCTACTGAGTCTACTGAGTATTTCCCCTACACTGATGACGAAGGCATCATAACTTTAGACACAGTTTAGTATTAGGATATTTCTGTTTTATTTTTACTTTTCTATTTTAAGTTTCGTTTGATTCATTTTCATTAGACAGGTAAGTCTACGACAATGTTTTATATTTATGTTTGAAATGCTTATTTCCGCATAAAATTGTTACGTTATGTATACAATAGCGACTTTAAAATAGTAAAATCTAGGGTCGTTATACATGAGTAACAAATTCTAGTCTCGACAACTACACAAATTTTTTTATGGGTTTTTTGAGTTTGTTTATCTTCCTCCACTACTCGTGACAACGGTGGTACCTGTATAACACCAAAAATCGTGAGATACCCTCATTCCTCTTCCCTAAAGTTTCCAACTCGACAAGAATAGAGGGAAAAGCAACCATAGTTAGACTTACCACTAAACGTTTGACGTTTCCTATCTCCGTACAATAACCAATTCAAGAATGGGGAAACGCCAACGATTTTCGTGACTATGTTCTGCTTGTTCTCGGATATATGGGGTTCTTTATTCTCGATATGAGTGTGTTACAGGAAAATAGGAAGAGTAGACTTTGGTCTGCAGTAGTTAGCCTCTTAACATGTCGACTTACGAGACCATGGTCTCCACAACGTCTTTTGCAGGCTGTTCGTCAAGCATTCGAGTACAAATCTTCGCTATAATCAGCTTCGATACTCTACCCTAACTTTTCGTTTGTTTCTCTCAACCTATAGAATCGTTTTTCCCATCATGCAAACGCATCTTGAGGCCTCAGGGGAGGCTTTATAGTGTACTTTGTTTGAGCAGAGGATTGTTGAAGATGGTTGTGATCATGAGTTTATAATTAAAGAATATACTATCTCCATTGGTATGAGATCTTTTCGGGAAGCCCAAAGCAAAACCATGAGAGCTTATGCTCAAAGTAGACAATATCATATCATTATAGAGAGTCGTTCTTCCTAATAACGATTAGGTCATATTTTAAAACTTTTATACCGAAATTATGTAACTAAATTATGAAAATTGGATTAAAAACTTTGGGAAATTCCAATGTGTTAATCTCATGAGTGTTCTAAGTTCAAAAATTTACTTTTAAGAATGGAAAGTCGGTAGATCGAATCAAATTGCTATCATTTTATCGGATTGCTTTAATCATTCCTTATTTATCCTTCTCACTCCTTCATAGTTCAAATCAATACTAATGAGTTATGCAATCAATTTGGTTCATATGATTGTTCTTAAATTATTTTTTATGTGCCACCGTTCACACGTGCTTAATATGTTTAATATGTAACGCTTCATGTTTAGGATTTGAAATTTGTATTCGATAACAGATGGTCACGACATTCTTCTGTGACATGACTATAATACTTGTTTTAAACTATTTTAAAAACAAACCAACATCAGTTTTTTAATCTTTTTTGTAGAGGTGTTTGTGAGTTGAGTTGGGTCGAGTTGATAAATTTTTTTAGATCTAATTCAATTGTTCGGGTTGTAAATATTTTCAACCAAAAACCCTTTTCAAATTTAGTTGGGTTGGGTTATTTAAGTAATTTATTTAAACTTTTGTTTTAATAAAAGTAAGATATATTTCATCAGATTTGTTTAGGTTCAAAACATTTAATTAAAATTTGCTAACTCAATTTTTATATATAATTTTTAAAATTACTTTAGAAATGGTTAGAAATTATTTTAAAAAGTTTTGTAGAATAAATAAAAAAATAATTATAAAATAAAATAAATATATGTATATAAAATTGTATCGTAAACAAAAATATATATTTTAAAATTAACAATAAATTCGAGTTAGTTCTTCCGAGAAACCAACTCAATTTATAAAGTTTTCATTTGTTTGAATCTAACCCAACCCGATCCAGGCTTGTAACGTTTTTGGGTCATCGAATTTTTTTGGACACCCTAATGTTTTGTTCTCACTCCCATATTTTTTAGAAAAAATTCTATTTATGGTGAACTCGAAAAAATTAAAATATGTTTTTCGTTTTTTTGGTTTAAATATTGGGTCAGAATGTATATGATAACGAACTCGATCTATCTAAGATATTAGAAAGTCGAGTTGTTACAATTAGAGTGAGATCTTATTCCCAAAAGTGATGCATCTTTCTTTTTGGTAGTTCAATTATAGGAATTCTACAGTTGACTTTTGACAATTTTTCTAGAATGCATGTGAGGGAAGACAAAACATGCTGGAAACAATTGTGTTGGTCTGTAGGGATAGTCTTCCCTCTTATAAGTAAGAAGTAAGTAACGTGACTATGTTGTAGGAGAATATCGGGGTCATTAGGTGCCATCAGGTGTCGGAGCCATTAGGTACTATGTTCGAATATTGGGCATGCTACATTACAAATGGTATCAGAACGATACCTCTCCCAATATCAGAACGAGACTTGATTAATCGAAATATGGTCGAGCACGAGAAAAAAAAAAAACAACATTTAAAGTGGTTGTTTTGATGTAAATTTTTGGAGGGCATGCATGCATGATGAAATGATTTTGTTCCTTGGCTTCTTTTAACCCTCTCTATCACCTTTTATACCAAATTTTCTTCATGGGTTTCTATTATTTACATTCATATCATACTTTTTACTATGGTTAGGGTAAAGTACACTAAAGTACTTTATGTGTTTTCTTATTGTTTAAACAACAATTTCAAATGATTTAGTTACCTCTCTTAACTATGACTTTACGATGTCTATTATGTGGATGTGCTTGTACGTTTGACTTTGCACGGTAATGAGACTGCTTCCGAGTATTTTTGATACTCCCACATATGTTGGAAATAGTCGTTATAAAATTGATAGAACCTAAAATGGATGAAATACCAGATAGATGAAGACTAGAAATTGTTGAATAACTGCTCCTCCAGAATTAGTAATACCACTTAAGGACGGATAGACTGTCCAACCAGTGCCGCTACCCACTTCTACTAACGCTACCCACTTCTACTAAGGTTGAGCTTAATAGGAGCAAGAGACTTGGTGGCAACAACCAAAATGCAATATTATTTAATCCGAAAAATTTCAGGTCAGGTGCACCTATCAGAATTGGAATAGACCAATTACCAGATCCACCTATCATCGCCAACATAACCATAAAAAAGATCATTAAGAAAGTGTTAATGATCTTTTTAGGTAATAATTGTGGTATACTAAATATAAGGTTATTATTTATGTACCCAATGTAACATAAAAAAAAATACATATATTAAAAAATCAGAAAATCAGAAAATAAAAGAAATTTGATACTTAAACATAAATTAAAAACGAAAAAAGAACCCTAAATCGAGTGAATTTAACTTCATATCAAGAGTAGAGATGTCTAAGGGACCGGAAACCTTTCTCATCTTTGCCTCCTATTTCATCCTCATTATCGCAAAATTTTTCATTTCAGTGTTGGGGGATCGGAGATTCTTCAACATAATTTTTTTCATTTTTTATAGTTTTTTTTTTAAAATTATTCATTTCAAGAAATGGAAAACCTCATTAATAATATTTCATAAGCAAAAAGTATAATATAATGTTTAACCTAATTTCTTAAAACTCAAATGTTAATAGTACACGAGAGTAATTGTAATGGGCCAATCTCATGGAAGAGAGGACTAACAAGTCATGGAACACTTTGATGCACACAATCGATTACCATCAAAACAATGTTGTAGCACTGTTGGCCAAGAGGATGGATTGGTTTCTAAAACAACCCTTTATGTATGTGTAGGTTCAAACCTTAATAGGTGTAGAGGGAGAAGGAGGGAACGAGGAATGTTGTTTGTTACCTATGTTCATACTAGGAAATAACTTCCTTATTTAATGTTGTTCATACCTTATGTTCATACTAGAAAATAGAAGAACTTATGCATGCATGTTATGAAGGATGTTATGAATGATTTAAAATGAAAAGTATTGAGAAGGGTTTGTTGTACCTCCGGACCCAGCTAGTCTAACTATACAGGCCTAGGGGGTGTGCGAGCTGGGGTTACTTTCTCTTTTAAGATGATAAGTACGGACGCGTACACTATGATGATGATCACGCTTGCATGATATTTGAGGGTTTGTTTTACCTCCTGACGACTGGCAACTAGCCCAACTAACTATGATGATCATGCTTGCATGATATTTGAGGGTTTGTTTTACCTCCTGACGACTGGCAACTAGCCCCTATGATGATCATGCTTGCATGATATTTGAGGGTTTGTTTTACCTCCTGACGACTGGCAACTAGCCCAACTAACTATGATGATCATGCTTGCATGATATTTGAGGGTTTGTTTTACCTCCTTGGCAACTAGCCCAACTAACTATGATGATCATGCTTGCATGATATTTGAGGGTTTGTTTTACCTCCTGACGACTGGCAACTAGCCACTATGATGATCATGCTTGCATGATATTTGAGGGTTTGTTTTACCTCCTGACGACTGGCAACTAGCCCAACTAACTATGATGATCATGCTTGCATGATATTTGAGGGTTTGTTTTACCTCCTGACGACTGGCAACTAGCCCAACTAACTATGATGATCATGCTTGCATGATATTTGAGGGTTTGTTTTACCTCCTGACGACTGGCAACTAGCCACTATGATGATCATGCTTGCATGATATTTGAGGGTTTGTTTTACCTCCTGACGACTGGCAACTAGCCTAACTAACTATGATGATCATGCTTGCATGATATTTGAGGGTTTGTTTTACCTCCTGACGACTGGCAACTAGCCCAACTAACTATGATGATCATGCTTGCATGATATTTGAGGGTTTGTTTTACCTCCTGACGACTGGCAACTAGCCCAACTAACTATGATGATCATGCTTGCATGATATTTGAGGGTTTGTTTTACCTCCTGACGACTGGCAACTAGCCCAACTAACTATGATGATCATGCTTGCATGATATTTGAGGGTTTGTTTTACCTACGAACTGGCAACTAGCCCAACTAACTATGATGATCATGCTTGCATGATATTTGAGGGTTTGTTGTACCTACGGACGACTGCCAACTAGCCCAACTAGCCCAACTAACTATGATGATCATGCTTGCATGATATTTGAGGGTTTGTTGTACCTACGGACGACTGCCAACTAGCCCAACTAGCCCAACTAACTATGATGATCATGCTTGCATGATATTTGAGGGTTTGTTGTACCTACGGACGACTGCCAACTAGCCCAACTAGCCCAACTAACTATGATGATCATGCTTGCATGATATTTGAGGGTTTGTTGTACCTACGGACGACTGCCAACTAGCCCAACTAGCCCAACTAGCCCAACTAACTATGCAGGCCTAGGGGGTGTGCGAGCCGAAGGATGTGTGGGGTTGTGTCACATGAATGATTTAAAATGAAAAGTATCGAGGGTGTGTTGTACATCCGGACGTCTGCCAAGTAGCCTAACTATGCAGGCCTAGGGAGTGTGCGAGCCGACCTGGGGGTTACTTTCTCTTTTATGATGATAAGTACGGACGCGTACACTATGATGATGATCATGCTTGCATGATATTTGAGGGTTTTTTGTACCTCCTGACGGCTGCCAACTAGCCCAACTATGCAAGCCTAGGAGGTGTGCGAGCCCACCCGGTAATCCACATTTGCACGTGTGGGTCGGGTGTATAGGGAACTACACACCCAATTTGTCAAGACTAGATGCTCCTCTATAATAGTTTTAAAAGACAAGACATCCATGTATAGCTGCTAGTTAGATAAAAAAGAACATATCGTGTCACTTCTTTATAGCTCACCTCACCTAAGTTGGAACAAAAAGAACATCCAAATCCTAAAGGGATGATTATAAGATCTTTCATAAAATAAAATAAAAAAAAGAAACAATATTAAATTAATAATTAAATTGTAGAGTATTTTTTTAATTAATAAAAAAATGGAATATAATTATAAGGCCAATAATATAAAATAGTTGGCAATTGGTCTGAATATAACTTTGCTTACAACTCACTATAGATGAAACGCGTAAGAGTACTAAATAAACAAACAAATAAATAAAAAAGAAAAGTTTATTTATTTATTTATTTAAAATATGTTTATTTAATTAATCTTTTTAAAAACTATACAAAAAGTGCATTTAAATATTAATAACATATAACGTATTGTGAGATCTAAGAAAAGTTGCATCTCTCTCTCTCTTATTATATAACATAAAGTTTTTGTTTTCATTCTAACAATAAAAAAAATTATTTTTTGAACGGCTAGGGTTACCGATTTTCGCTCGATAGGCCATAGCTTTCTTCTAAAACAAATCGGTTATCGATTTGCTCTTTGGTTGAGTTGATGATCTTGATGTGATGGTAAAAAATAGTCTTGAGATTAGAGTTGTCTCCAATGTGACGGTAAAAAAAGAATCCTGAGATTAGAGTCGTCTCCAATATGACGGTAAAAGAATAGTCCTGAGATTAGGGTCGTCTCTCTTGGGGAGGTAAAAAAATAATCCTGAGATTAGGGTTGTCTCCAATGTGATAGTAAAAAAATAATCTTGAGATTAGGGTTATCTCCAATGTGACGGTAAAAAAACAGTCCTGAGATTAGGGTCGTCTCCAATGTGACGGTAAAAAAATAGTCCTGAGATTAGGTTGTTTCCAATGTGATGGTAAAAGAATAGTTCTGAGATTAGGGTCGTCTCTCTTGTGGAGGTAAAAAAATAATCCTGAGATTAGGGTTGTCTCCAATGTGATGGTAAAAAAATAATCTTGAGATTAGGGTTATCTCCAATGTGACGGTAAAAAAACAGTCCTGAGATTAGGGTCGTTTCCAATGTGACGGTAAAAAAATAGTCCTGAGATTAGGTTGTTTCCAATGTGATGGTAAAAGAATAGTNCTGAGATTAGGGTCGTCTCTCTTGTGGAGGTCATAAAATAATCCTGAGATTAGGGTTGTCTCCAATGTGATGGTAAAAAAATAATCTTGAGATTAGGGTTATCTGCAATGTGACGGTAAAAAAACAGTCCTGAGATTAGGGTCGTCTCCAATGTGACGGTAAAAAAATAGTACTGAGATTAGGGTTGTTTCCAATGTGATGGTAAAAAAATAGTCCTGAGATTAGGGTTGTCTCCAATGTGACGGTAAAAAAATAGTCTTGAGATTAGGGTCGTCTATGAAGCGACGGTAAAAAATTAATCCTGAGATTAGGGTCGTGTCCAATATGACGGTAAAAAAATAGTCCTGAGATTAGGGTCGTCTCCCTTGTGGAGGTAAAAAAATAATCGTGAGATTAGGGTTTTCTCCAATTACATTCTTTTAAATTTGTTGTGAATCCTATGATTTGTCTATCTCGTTATCCACGATTGCATCTGCTAGTGGATAGTTTTGATTATTATCGTCCATAGTTGCACTACGGATTCAACACGATTCGACACCTGAGATGACCCATGACCTTCAACATTGTCCTGCAACATGGTCACATTACTTACTCTTCGTTTCTAAGAGAGAAGAGAATCCCCACAGAAAAATACGAGTTCTTCTAGCATGCTAAATTCCTAGGAGGTCACTCAACATAGAATTACTCGAAGCAAGAAACGTTTAACCTTGAAGTTCTTATGATCGAGTCACTAAAAAACAAGGTGTAGCTTATTAATATAGACATTAACTTTCAATTTTTTTAAAGTTTTTCTGAGTTATCTTATTCTCAAAATTGTTCTCATCCGGACGTCGTCTTGGTTAATTTATGTATCCCTGTTTTACTCGGGTGTCACATTCACCAAACCATACTTTCAACCGTCCAAAATCATATTATTTATTCAAAATAATAATAATAATAACCCAAAATAATTAACTTGAGAAGGCTTGACAATATTATTACAACTTTTATATTCTAAACTATGATTTTTCTTTTTCCCTTTAATGTGAACTCACAAAAATATCTCTC